TTACTTGTAATCTTAAATTTTAAATAATATGCATCAATAAACAATATTTCGTGCATAAAAAATTATTTTTAAGAGTTTTTGTCAAATGTTTTATAATATAGTATAGATAGTATAGATTAGGTTCAATAACGAAGTAATTTATATTTGGTTTAATAATATAATTTTCTTATAAATATAATAATTAATTATTTTGTTAGAACTTGATAATTATTCTAATTATATTTTAGTTTTTTTAGATTTTATAATGAGATTTTTATCATCTATTTGATTATGTTTATCCGCAGTTAGTTACACGAATTCAAATATGGAGCTTTAATAAGTTGTACTTATACATAATTTTTTTCTTATAAAGATAATAATTAATTATTTTATTAGAATTTGATAATTATCCTAATTATATTTTAGTTTTTTTAGATTTTAAAATGAGATGTTTATCCTCTATTTAATTATGTTTATCCGTAGTTAGTTACACGAATTCAAAATGAAGCTTTAATAAGTTGTACTTATGCATAATTTACTTGTAATCTTGAGCTTTAAGTAATATGAATCAATATACAGTACTTCATCTATAAAAAATGGTTTTTAAAAGTTTTTGTCAAATGTTTTATAATATAATATAGATACATCAATAAACAGTACTTGATGCATAAAAGATAGTTTTTACGAGTTTTTGTCAAATATTTTATAATATAGTATAGATAAGAGAATAGTTTTAGGGCAATCATTTCATTAAAAACTTTCTTAGAAATCGTCTAAAAGTACAAATATATCATTTGTTATATACAGATTATATATGGAAATTCATTTATTTATACAAACATTATTTAATAAATTCAATTAAAATATCCAGACATGAGTTTTTTTATAATTTTCATAACTTAAGCATGGATTACTCAAACTTATCAGTTCTCTCTTAAGCATGGATTACTCAAATTACCAAAAATATTAGTTTTCTAATTTATCCATTGATTTGTGGTTGAAATTGGATCTTACAGTTATCACAAACTTATCAGTTCTCTCATAAATGGACCCCTAATATATATAATTTCATCTATCTATATTTGTATGTTGTTACATGGATTACTCATATTTAAATCAAATAAATAAGTATATATAATTTA